CAAACGAGTTACGCGAGTGGAGTCATCTCGACGTTCACTTCGATGTGGAGAATCGCAACGATGGCTAACCGCTAATAATAGTGCCAAACATTAACCATATATTTAAAGCAATAAATCAGAATCACTTCAAAGTGTAATGAAGTTAAATATTAATAGATATAATTGTATTCATATAATCATATGCTCTGTACATTATAAAAGTTGTTCACTTATTGAAGCCTTTATTTAATTAATAAATAAATCAAACTATTATACAAATAATCGTTTAATGAAAATGTAAATTCTCATCTAATATATAACAATATAATGAGATTAAAATATCAGTATTTATTTTAAGCGAATATAATCTCTAATATGAAAGAATTGAACACAAAAGTGATTAATTCTGTTTTGTGAATGACGACTGAACGTAAATATACATTTTAAATAGACCGACATGGAAAAGGGTACAGAAGGCAGTAAATAACGATAGTTTTAATCTTAATTTCCAAAAGTTTATCAATAATTTAAAAAATATTTATATTTTCACAGCAATTAAAAAATGGATTAGATTCTGTAACCATGTAAATACATTGAATTGAATTGAATTACAAATGAATCTTATTTAATAAAAATAGAAATGAGTTCAAAGGCAAAAATAATACAATATACTTAAATTATTTGTGTGATTGTGTGATGTATTGTGAAAATATTTTACTTAAAACATGAATTTTTAAATACACTTGTACTCAATTGTGGTAAAACATCAAACAAAATGTTAATTGTTTGAAAATGATAAATCCGATTAGTCTGAGTCTTCTGAGAGTGACTATTGTTTAAACTAAACTACGATTTGTCAAAGAAATTTCAATAATGATTATTGTATTTTGAGTAAAGATTTTGAAAAGCATGTAAAACTATTTATCAGACTATAAGTGATTTTAAATATTGATTATACGAGGAATTTGTTTACGAATATTAAAGTTTTAGTTAGTAAAATTTTAGTTATAATTAATGTTTTTAAGACACAAAACATAACTATTTTGACGCAAAGGATATACACGTTATTTTCCATTCATTTATTTGTGTCATGTTTCGTGTCTAATAATATTTGTAATGTTGGAAATTTTTATTAATAATAAATTAAATATTATTAACAACAATGACTTCAAAAATAGATTTTTATTTATTACTAATACTTGTCTATATTTATAATTAACATACATAACACTGAAATAAAATATAAAATCATTAGATTTTGAGTTTTGCAATATTAGCAGTCTATTAGTGCAGATTCTATAGTATAGATTCTATACTATAGAATAACTTATATACATGTTATTTCAAGCATACAGTTTAATTATACGGCAATTTTTATTTAAATAATTATGGAAATGATAGGAATGTTTATAAATTCTTCGCAAAAATTATTTGTCAATTTAAGATTATTTGTAACGTCTTGTAAACATATCTGAAATATTTTGAATTATTACTAATTTATTATCAAAAATACCAATGCATTGACTTTTACACAAATATGCAAACAATTTATAAATAAATCTTATAATTATATAACTTATTATTAGATTAGTTTGAAAATAGTTTTAAAGATTTGATAAATTCTTTTCTTATTATGTTAGCAAATATTCAATATTGAAAGTCATCCCAATTGACCACATTTTGTCAGATGGATGTCTCAATCAAAGAGTGAGTCCTCTCTGTAATGCTTTTGCTACGGAGCTAAAAAATTGCATAACTCAAAAAGTACTTGCTGGATTTTGGCATATACCAAAATGTTTGTACTAACGAATGTATTAAAATATGATTCGAGACGTTTATCGGGATCTTAGTAATAGATCCCGAGTATTTGATTGCATGGGATTTATAACTGTAAAAGAGCAATATTTAAAAGGCTTGGCATTTAAAAAGTACACAAGCTATTTAAAGAATATTACACCAAATTGTAAAGAACTACAAATTAAAAAAATCAATTTTTCATATTCCAATATTCGTGTAAAACGTTGATAAAATTAAATGTTTACATAGTTAAAAATCATATTAGAAAAGTAAGAAATTGATTTTTTCTATTTTAATTTATTACAAATTTGGTGTATAATTCTTTAAAATAGCTTTTGTACTTTTTAAATGGCCTTTTTATACAAGCATTACCAGAAGACTCACTCCGATTCAGGCATCCATATTATACAGTATATAATAGCCTAAATTTATAGAATTTTATATGCAAACAATCGAATTGTTCAATTAACATTGGTAATAAAACAAATGTTATATTCAATTAAATCAATTTATTATTTTTTATTCTTCATGTGAAATGACAATAATTTTAAAGCTTTAAATACAAATTGATTGATAAAAATATGAATAATAAATATATAACTATTTGATGGCAAAACTATCGCCCGTTGGCCGGAAACCAATCACTCCAATCACTAATGGTTTCTTTATTTTTAATGAATTGCTCTAAAGTGACAGAACGTGTGGACACGATGTCTGTGGAGGCAAAGATGGCGGCGCCTAACCATGAGTTGTAGTTCGCGGGACACGGATTCTCATGCAGTTTGAAATCATCGAAATGTAGTTTAGATACAAATCGATTACTTTTTGCCAAAGACTTTAATTCTTGAAACAATCGGTGCCTAAAGCCGGCCAACATTGAAGTGCCGCCGATTACTATGATATTTGAGGCCAACTGTCGCCGCGAATCGACCGAACATTTGAGTATAGCGTCAATGATTAGCGTAGGAATAGTGTGTTCGTCGCCATACATCTCAAACAACACCTCACACACAGACTCCCGAAGCGAACCGGGAATGTGTAGCACTCGCTGCCCGTCGAGTGGATACTTGATATCATTGGGCGGACCCGTTATGGCCGACCCTTCCTTGAAGTCTACCTTTTGCTGCGACAGTTGAACGCCTCTCTCGAAAGGCGCCACAAAACAAGTCCTGGTCTTAATGTCTTCCAATAGGGTTTCGTCCAATGGTTCCGATATAACCGACTCTTCTTCGTTGGTATAGCGTATTGTTGCGCGCCTTTGGATCAGTTCATCCATTATCCTAAAATGTATTGATTTGNGATTTGGTGGACAGGAATCGGTGTTTCGGTGACAATGATGTCCAGCTCTGGCGAAACCACTCCCGAGTTTGTGGACAGCGAAGACAGAGAGGACAGGGAGGAGGAGACGGCGTCTGAAGAGCACAGCTTCGAGAATCCCAATTACCGCAAACTATACGCCGCTCTGTCTATCACTTCAATGATGGGACACAACAACCAATCGGTCGCCGATCACGCCGTCGACCATCACCTCAACGGTTCCGTTGGCGGCGCCGATGAGCTGCCGCTCGGTTGGGAACGCCATGAGGACGAAGACGGGCCCTACTTCTGGCACATCCCCAGCGGTCACATCCAAAGACAGGCACCGATTGGTGAGACGCCGGACGTGACGCGAAGGGATTCACTCATATATATGAATAGTTTTGATGATAATATGGATCCAAATAAATGCCACACAAATGGCGACAATAAACAAACCGAAGACAATGTGTTGACATTTGTGGTGAACTCTTTGGGTTGGATGGATGTGGAGGAAAGCCAATTGACTTCTGCCACCAGTTCTAAACTCATCCAAAAGTGTATCATTGAGTTGAGCACAAGAGGTGACAATAACGCTGTCCGCTGTTGGGGACGACAAACACAGCAATTGGTCCTTAAGATTGAGGGCTCGTGTCTCAAGTTGTATGACATGACTGGCGATACTCTACTTAATAGTCACCCAATCCGTGGTCTAAGAGTGTGGGGCGTAAACGACAACAACGACTTCGCGTTCGTCGCCAAAGACAGCAATGAATCCAATTGTCAAACCAGTGGTGACTCCGAAGCCGATCAAAAGAGTCCTCTTTTGGGACCGTCTGGTGTCGTCTCCAATGAACTTAAATGTCATGTCTTTCACTGCGAGGACGACAGCGATAGCGCCCAACGAATCGCTACATATCTTAGGGACGAAATGATACGTTTGAAGTCCGATATGGAGGGCACGCGTTGGGGATCTCCTCCACAGCGACCGAAGAATCTCTTCATTTACGAGAGCGGCAAAAGTCCCGCGAGTATAGCGACGCCCACAGCCATTGAATTCCCCACTCCTATAGAGGAGCCCCGGAAGGCAATGGCGGCCAAGTATTTGGGCAAAATGAAAGTCACCAAACCTATGGGTATCGATGTCTTGAATAAAGCCATCGAAACCATACTCTTCAATGAGAACAATGACTCTTCGGTGGGAGTCTTTAATACCGATGTTTTGGTTCACATTTCGCCCTCAACTATAACCGTTGAGTGCAAAGAGACGGCTCAATGTCTCGCTGAATGCCGTGTGAGGTATAGCACACCTAATATTGAATTCATTGAAACGCTTGAGTATTAACGATATTGTGATCTACGCACAGGTATTTGTCGTTCTTAGGCATCGGGAGTACTAACGTGAAGACGTGTGGCTTTATTATGCAAATCGATGACAACCAGTTTGAGGCGCTTTGCTTTGAATGCGAGCCGAGTTCGGGTGCCTTTTGCAAGACGATTGAGGCCGCGTGCAAACTCAGGTACCAGAAGTGTTTGGACGCACACCGACAGCGATTGGCCCCCAATAATGCCATTCCATCTCAAAACTCATCTCGTATTAAGTCTACGATATTTAATGTGTTTTCGAAAATTTCCAATAATATCAAGAAAAACTAAAATTTTGACATTTATCTCATTTTTCCCATGAATTATATCTTATTTCTAATGTGAAGATAACTCTGTAATTAAATGTAAAACAGGGTTTATAATATAGTTAATATGTAACTTAATATGAAATGAATATGACATTACGTAAAATTACTTTTATTTACTACCTAAATAAGTGCCGTACATTAGGATTGTAATTTATATTTACTAATTTAATTGAATACAGCACTAAAAACTATAAGACTAAAAAATTCCATTTAAACAAGTATAGATTGAAGACCATGATCCATTAACTTAATAATGTTTTGGTGAAACCAATTCACATTATATCAATCCAAATTAACTAATACTTAAACGCAAGGGTAATGTAATTGTGTTGGAAATCTGAAAAACAAAGTCATTACTGTAATCACTATTATTGGAGACGATCTCATTTTTAACCACAATTCAATATTATTTAAGATAATAGTGTAATTTATGTAATCTCGCTGTATTAACGTACAGTAATTGCATATCAACTGCACACAAATAAAATACCATTAATTTAATTGAAACCCTCGTAATTATTGATCCTAAAATGCGGTTCATTAATATCGAGAATCTTGAATTCTAAATACAATTATCATTATTCAAGCCCTATATGTCATGAATTAAAACTTTTTTGGAGTCAATTCCAATTTCCGGGATATAAATATACCATTTTTAAACATATTAATAGATTATAAATACATTCATTGTATATACCATTCATATAATTAATTTCTAATCTATAACAATTTGGATGAGATCATAGTAAATTTACTATTTTTACAACAAATTATATTTTTAAAATGTTGTACAAATAAATAGTACATTTATTTCAATAATAAGGTAAATATCAATGTTCTTTATATATGAATATAAGATATAATTAATAAATTGCGATATTAAAATACCACAATTTAAAAATTATAATCTTACAAAATAGTGCATAAAATGTATTTTCCATCTATAAATTATATATTGTATGCAATTTTTAAACTTCAAATGATATTCTGTGGGCAGATTCAGTCATAGCACTTATATATTGATACGTATTTGAAATATAAATAAATCCCATTATTATCTCGTAAAGAGATTTATTTAAATATTATTACAATATACATAGACTGTAGGTGACTTTCATTCATGATAAAAGACTTTTGTATTTATTTCACACATCAACAAGTAATTGTCAAATTACAATGGAAAGTTCCAGTCGTATAAATAAAATAATCTTCATATAAATAATAAATATATATTTTGCACTTTTTATGAATTCAGGTATTTGTGAATTAAAACAAAAATTAATACCAAAAATAGAGTCTAAATATTGAT